CCACGTGGAGGCCAGCGGATAACGTGGAGATGAGGCCTGAAGAAATGCACAGAGCGCTTAGGTATAGTAGATGTCTCTCTTCTTCCGGGTTGGGGTCCAAAAGACTCCGTAACCGCATGGTTGGAGATACTGAATATCATTGCGGTGATGATCTTGCTGTAACTTCATATCAGACCAGAATGCTTGAAATTGTATGTATGCACAGTTGGAACGTGATCTGTGTGTTGACCATATATGTTCGCTTTCTTTTCCCGCCCCTAATAATAGGCCCAATCTCTATTCACCTTACACATTTTCACTTACCTTGCATGCAATTTGAGTCCGGAAGCGATCAGTGGAGGTCACTTCACTGTATTACGCTGCACAATGATGATGATGATGATTCAATTGGAACTTGTTCACCTTCCTGTACAACACGTGATACCTTCGTCAACTCTAAAATCAAGCCTGAAAACTCAACTTTAAAATTCGATAAAGACAACCAATCTGGTCTTATACCTTCTGGGGCAACTCATCTCTCAGGTGATCTTCATTACTGAGAGGGGACTGGTGTCAACTTCCTGAGGGCTACCAACTTGGTACATAAGTTGTCGACAGAGGTTAATCGAACTGCAACTTAATATGTTTCGCCCACCGGTCTAGACGGCCTTGCTGGCCGTGAATCAATGTACCATTGGATTCTTTTAATATCTGGTTATTACCTACTTTCTGTGAGCCCGTACTCCTGGTTAGATCGAAAAAACTGAGTGAGTACTATCCTATTACAGCAACGCTGTATCTAGTGAGCCCTAACCATGAGAAATATAAACGATAAAACACATTTTGTTAACTTGGAGTATTTAGCAAAAAATCCGTAAACAGAATGTGGAAACAAACCTCAGGCAAACAAACGTATGCTTGATGCACACGAATCGCCACATAGACTGTTGCAATTATAAAGTTCGATCAGATTAATTGGATTGAAGTAGAGATAAAAGCAATATTTCCTTACTCCTCCTCGTGATTTGATTTCAGCAGCAGTGGATTCCAAAGACAGACCTGACTCGTCCGCATCTGTGGACTTAAGAGTCCTTCCAGTAATGTAAACAGTAGCACCTCGTTCACCCAGGCCAATGGCGATACCTCGACCAATTCCACGTGAAGCCCCGGTCACCAAGCAAATGTGGTCTTTTAGAGAGGACATTGTTGAAGAAAGTTTTCTGTAAAGGATCAAGACAAAAGCAGAGTCAAAAGTAGAGAACAGTGTCAGCAGTGAGGTGGATAGCAACACATTCCCCATAAGAGATAACGTGTTCATTTTCGAGATTGACTAGATCCTGATATGCTGGAGGGATAAAAAACCTCATCTCAGGAAAGCAAGAAAATATAATTTGTTAATGTAGCAGGAGTACCATCCATCACACATACAAACACTCAACTATTTCGGCAATTAAAATCAATACCGCGCGCGAAATAATTCATGATATGGAGAATATGATCAGGATAAACATAAGACTTTGCACGCTCTTCATTCCCCCAAAAGCGCAATCTTCTGCTATTACACTTGAGTGCAACGAATGAGAAAATCGGTTCCTTTTGAACAGGTGAGCACTACCAAGAATGAAAGATATTTCAGACAGTTGCAGTCGCGTAACAACGTAAGTAACTCATCTCCATAAATTATGGTGGTTGGGGCACGTTTCGCATATTCTCGGATGAGGTTCCTCGGTGTGCAGTGCTTACAGACGCAGGTAATGAAGACAAAATGGTCAGACTGATCAGGGGTGACAGTAGGCAAACTTGGTAACGGCGATAGCATTGGGTTTCTCCGTAAGTAACCCCAGAAGAAGAGATATCACCTTATCACCTTAAAGTGATGTAATGCTTGTGAAGAAATGGACAAAGTATTGAAGTGACACCAAAAAATTCATAGGGAAGAAGCAGGACAATTACAAACTGCATCGTGCTACTGACCCGTGATGACAGGATATAAAAATGTTTCGCAAAACAACTATTGGTTTAAATTGTTGGAAGCCATGAGATCAGTCGAAAATAAAACGATCTGAAGCACGATCGGCCCCGGCCACAAACTGCTCTGTGCAAGCTGAAATGAACTGAATTCTGGATGTTTGACTCCGTCCAAAGGGCACATGACATACGGAACTGGACACCGGCCCCCAGTGGATTTTTTATTACATCTTTTTTGTTTAATGAATATCAGACGGGGCGGAACCCAAAGTTACGAAGACCTGCTGTTCAATGATGGCTTGCGGTTCTAACACCCTGTCAGACTGCTTTACGGATCAGGCTTTGGCTAGCCGAAGGCTTCGGTTGTGAGTTCCCCAAGAAAGTTCACCTGCCTTGGTCTGAGCAATCTGGTAGTAGTCCCCCATATGCAAATTACGGAACTTTCTCTTTTTCTGAGGATTATTGTACCGTGATTTTTGGCACTCACTGTGCACTAGAGGTATGGGATAATCATAATAAACAACATGAACAGATCAAGGTCCTTGAAAATCTCTTCATGACTATTGTGTCTCTGTCCCGCCATCCTCTTGGTAATCGGGCGTTGCGCTCTTTCTAAACGCTCATCTTTCCGGAAGTAAGGGCATCATCATCATCGTACAGTGAAATACAGTGAAGCGAACTTCACTGATCGCTGCCAAACTCGCAATGCACACAAGGTTAGTGGTAAAATTTAAGGTGGACAGGGATTGGACCTATTTTTAGGGAGGGAGAGGAAGATGAGCCACAATGGTCAACACACAGAGTACGCAATCGAACTCTGCATACATACCGTTTCAAGCATTCTGACCTGATAAGAAACGACAACAAGAACGCCACT